TGCTACATTCTGTGTAAATTACTTAAATTTATCTTTTGGTGAACTGATTTTCTCTTTATTTGTCAATCATCTGACATTGAACCTATTACATTTTTCAAATTGATGTGTAATTTACACACAATAGTGTGCATAGACTTTTGGCATACAGTTGAGTTTTGATGCAGATTATACATGTAACCACAACTACCATATAGTCAAGATACAGACATGCTCATTCCATCAGAAAGTTCCCTCATGCCCCTTTCCAGTCGAATGCCTCTCCCAGGAGCAGCCATTGTATTCATTTCTACCATGCATTCTAGAAGGTCAATAAATGTAATCATACAGAATATACTCTTGTATCTGGCTTCCTTTGCTCAACATAGCTTTTAGAATTCACTCACATTGTTGCTTATTGTAATTCATTCCTTTCTACTGCTGAGCAGCATTCCATTGCTGAACATACTGCCACCGTGTTTATACATTTAGTTGCTGACGGATATTTGGGCTGTTTCCGATTTGGGGACTTTTAGAAATAAAGCTGTGATGAACAAGATTTTGGAAGACATGATTTCAGTTTTCCTAAATAAATACTAAGGAGTGAAGTTTCTACCTGGAAGTTGAATATTTTGTTTTAGATTAGGTGTATGTTTGACTCAATATAAAACGGACCGACTATTCTTCAGTTTTCTTTCTCCACTAGTAATTTAGGAGAAAGTCCTCACCAACACTTGGTATTGTCAGTCTTTTAAATTGTAGTCATTTTAGTGGCTGTGAAATGGTTCATTTTTGTAGTTTTAATCTGCATTTCCTTGATAATGACTTATTAATGGCTTATTAATCATTCCTATGTCTTCTTTTGTGAAGTGATTTTTCAAGATCTTTGACCATTTTTTTAAATGGGTTGTCTTTTTATTATTGAGCTGTAGGAGTTATTTGTATATTTCCCAATACAATCAAGTCCTTTGTCATATAAATATGTACTGCAAATATTATCTCCCAGTCTATGACATGACAATTCATTCCCTAATGAATTTTAATTATCAGAAGTTTTTAATTTTGATGAAGTCTAATTATTATGGACTGCATGTTTCTGTCTCCCCAAAATTTGTATGTTGAAACCCTAATCCCCAGTGTGATGGAATATGGAGGTAGAGCCTTTAGGAGGTAACCAAGCCATGAGGTCAAGCCCTCATGATGCGATTAGAACCCTTATAAGAAGAGAGCTCCCCCCAAACTCTGTGTATGTGTCTGTGTGTGTGTCTTTCTCTCTCATGTGAAGGAATGAAAAGGCAGCTCTCTGTCAGCCCAGCAGCGGGTCCTGACCAGACAGATACCAGATCTGCCAGCACCTTGATCTTGGACTTCCCCGGCTTTAAAACTGTGAGAAATAAATGTTTATTATTTAAGTCACCCAGTCTATATTTTTATTATAGTAGCCTGAAATTTTTATAATTAATACAAATTAATACTATTTGTATTCTAAGAAACCTCTGCCTACCCGATGTTGTGAAAATATTACCATATTACCATCTTGAGTTAATTTTTCTATATTGTGTGAGGTGGGAGCAGGTTCATTTTTTTCCCCACATATGCATATCCAGTTGTTTCAGCATTGTCTATTGAGAAGACTGGCTCTTCCCTTTTTGCTAAAAATCAGTTGATTCTATGTCTATCTCTGGACTTTATTCTGTTAGATTATGCTATTTGTCCTGTTATGACACTGCCTTGATTACTGTAGTTTATAGTTTCAGATACTATAAATTCCTCAATTTTGTTCTTCTTTTTTCAAAGTGGTTATGAACTTTTCTAAACTCTGAGTTTCTGTGTAAATTTTAGAGTAAATGCCTCATTTCTAAAAATGCACCTGCTCTAATTTATATTACAATGACCTTAAATCTGTAATTAATCTGGGAAGAATGGACATCTTATCAAATATTGAGTTATCCAATATATGAACACAGTATGCCTTACCATTTAGTTATATATTTTTACTCAGTAATATTTTGTGGTTTTCAGTGTGGAGGTCTTACACATTTTTACATGTTAAATGTATTCAAATTTATTTTATAATTTTTAATGTTATCATAAATAGTATTTTTATTTCATTTATAAATATTTACTGCTAGTACAGAAAAATAGTTTTTATTTATATATTGACTTAAGTGACTTACAATTTTATTTATGTATTAACTTTGTACTGGTAATCATGCTTATTTCTTCTAGTACTTCTTTGGTAGATCCTTTAGGTTTTTCTACATAAACAATCATGTTGTCTGAAAATAAAGACAGGTAACTTCTCCATTTCTCATCTTCTCATCTCATCTTTCATTTCTTTTTCTTGGTTTGTTTTATTGGCTAAGACCTCTGTTATAATGTTGAAAAAAGTGGAAAGAAAATATTCTTACCTTGTTCACAATCTTATGGGAAAATGTTCAATATTTCACTGTTAGGTATGATGTTAACTAAAGATTTATACCCATGCCTTATACAATAAGGTGTGTCCTGAAATGAATAGTTTAAACAGCTGTAGCAATGTGGATTTTTCATCCAGCATGGTTCCCTTTTTTCAAGGTTTAAATGTCTACTTTTTGTTGCTCTCTTTCACATGTTTTTACACATATATTATAATTAATCTCAGCAAGATTAGTCCAATGGAAGCTGCTCCATTAATGAGACTTCCTTAAATATATAATTTCAATTATTATATTCTTAAGTCCTTAATAGAAGTTTTATTAGTTTTTTTCTAAACCTACTAGATTTTTTTCCTCTGTTCATTACTCATTTGTCATTCCCTCTCTTATTTTTAAAAGGCGTGTTAGATGGATTTATTTTACATTTTGTATCTGATTACTCCAATAATGAAGCACTTATTTGCCTGCCAAATAATGCTCATGGTACTTTTTTTTCCCTCATATATATTTTTTGTTTTATTTTTTTAAAGTGTGAGCTCATGTTCTCTGGGACTTTATCCCTGGGAGTTCTTTGTATTCTGAGTCAAGAGTACCTTCGTCCAGACAGAATATACACTGATTCTTGAAAAGTTGGGCATGCTATCAACATGAATCCATTTTCAAGTTCTTGCGTGGGGAAGAACTTTCCATCTTTGAAGACTGAACACCCAACCTCCATGAAGACGAGCCTATGGCCAAGAATTCTTAAAGGAGACTCTTTTGCTCCTCTACCAAGAGCCCAATAATGGGAAAAGCATGTTTTCTTGCAAGTACTCTGTCTTCATAAATTAAATCTTTTTTCTTGCTTTCCATTTTCCTGAGAGTGTGATCTGTGTGATTCCTGGCTCTGGAAAATGTTCTCTGATTCAACTTCCCACACTGCCCAGGTCCAAAACTAGGTGCAGCTACTAAAATCAGACCTCTGAGCCACCTTGGATTGCTGGGTGCCCACAAGACAGCAGCTTCATTGTTTGAGATCTATAGGCTATACTCCTCCTCAAGCATGGTTCCCAACCGCAGAGGAATACCAGTGTTGTCTTATAAAGTCAGCCATGCATGTAATACTGCTTTTTCATGTTTCATCCAGTATTTTTAGACATTTGGTAGTGAGAGGATTTCAGTATATCTAGTTTGATATATAGCTAGAAATGGAAAGATTCAACATTTACGTTTTAATCTCTAAAGGCTTTAGTTGTCATTCTTCATTTAGCTCGTTGGCAAATGAGTTAGCTGGATGGATAACACTGGCTAACAGGGGAGATATTTATGGACCCCCAATGGCTATTAACAATAAATATGCTATCCGATTTTTAAAAAACAGCTCTGAAAAAAAAAAGGAATGAATCTAATGGATAGTCTGCATCCCTCATGATGCTTTTAGTTCTAGAAAATTCCAAAGGGTTTCCCTAAATAGCTGTAAGAGGCATAGCCAAAGAAGGCATTGTTGAGAAGAGGAGGGATTGAGGCCTGTGTTACTACCTCCCCAGTTCTCAGAGCTACCTTTCACAGATAAAATAAAGCTTGAATGGATCAAAATGTTTCTTGGAAGTTCACTAGATTTCACATGAAAGGACTTATTTTACCCCTTTACTGTGGGGAGAAATTGCTTGGCAATTACACATAGTAAGTTTAATTCCTAAAGCTAAATTACCCACCGTAACATATGGATGATAAAACCTACCTCATCAATTGTTAAATATATTAATTGCAAAATGTTTAGCACAGATCTTGACACATAACATACTAAACTACTTATGAAGTGATAGCTAGTATTATTTCCATGTATGAAAGTCCTGATGTGAGAAACTTTTAATATCTTTGTAAATGTTACATTCAGAGATGGTTTCATGTCCTTGACATACTGACAAGATAAACTCAAGAAAACTCAGCTTGAGCACCCCATGTGGATGGGGTTCCGTCGAAAGTGCCTTGGTTTCTCCCCTCCATTACTGCCCAGTTCTCTTAGAGTTTCGCACTGAAAGTAAATTTATGTGACTGGTAGTATAACCGCAAGGGTATGCATGTTAGGCATCAGAGGATTACAAAGATGGATAGCAAGGAAAGTCTCTGTCCTCAAAGAGCTTCTAGTCTAGTGTTATGATTCTCAGCCCTGGTTGTACTTTAGAATCATCTAGAAAGATTTAAAAAAAAAAAAAAGCGTACCAACATTCATATGTGTATTTTCCTCCCTATACAGACAGTGGCTATCTTGGGACAGGAGACAGACTATCATCTTTCCTTATTCTTTATTATAGCCAGTCCCTATATGTAACAGTAACGTATTAAAACCCATTTAAATATATTAAAAATATTAACAAAATTCACTATTAAAGGCATTCTATTATGTGAATCCTTAGTTGCAGTCACCAATATGGTTGAAATATTAAATTCCTACGCCAAAAAGAATATGCTCGCAACACTTCCCCGTGTTAAGGGTGCCAATGTCACAGGCCCTACCCCACCACGGTGAAAATAGCAGGTACCCCCAAATTAAAAGCAATATGCAAATATGACACAACTTTGTATTTAGAAATATCTCTTATGATACTGTTACAGATTTTTTCTTACCAATTTAAGATAACCTTCAGCATCTAGAATTAAGTTTTCTGGTTTCAGGTCTCTGTAGATAATACCTAGTCGATGCAGGTAATCAAACGCTTCTGTCACACAAGCAACGCAGAACTTGGAGGTGGGTTCATCGAAGCTACCTCTGCAATGAAATCATTTTCCCTCTTAATACTCTAGACACATATATTTATTGTCTATTCCAGGTGTCAGTTATTGCATTGGTAAACTTACACAATACAAATGTTTTGGAGGGCATCAACACTAAGAAGTATTTCGTACTGCCCATGAATTAGACCGATGATGGTAAAGAAATTTAGGGGGATACTTGAGGCAAATGGAGAAGTACTTCACTCAAGTTAAGATGTCTCCATCCCAATCATTTCTGGTAATCGTATATGGATACATAAAATAGAAACGTAAGAAAACGAGACTTTTTAAGATATTTATGGCAAACTCTGGAGAAAATGCAACTATTTTAATGGAGAGCTTAAAGCTGACTTCTGTAATTTATTGCCTGACTAAAAATGACCCAAGTGATCATTTTCATTTCCTGTTGGTATAGCATGTAACAATAACCCATGTAGAAATGGGTTCATAACTCTTTCCTGTTTGGGGCACCTTGATGATATTAGACTTGCCCTGTGAGGGCATTGCATATGGGTTTCCACACTGAGTTATTAAAAAGTGGTGGTGATTTGCAGCGTGAAGTCGTGGAAGCGTATGGCTTTGGAGTAAAAGAAACTGGCTTTGACTCCTGCTTCTTCCATCACCGTATCCTCGGGCAAGTTGTGTGGCTGTTCTGAGCCTCATTTCCCTATCTGTAAAATGGGTTTACTACTTCCTGAACGTGTTGTTTCGAGAGTCAGACACAGTGCCTAACAGAGAGTACCAACTCCCCTTTCTAAACAGATCCGCATGTTGAAGCAAAGGTGGAGGAAGCAAATGTTTCTGTAGGTATCATGCAAGTCTTTGCATCCTGCTGGGTTTTCCCCATTCAGATCCGTCCAACAACACATTCCTAACACAATGCATCCATCTCTTCGCAGATGCTCAAAGGTCTGCCATTACCTAGGTCTGGGATTCTCCACCACGAATGCACATCAGAATTGCCGGAGAGGTCATTTACTACACCCCATCCAAGGTGAACCAAATCATAACCTCTGGCATTAGGGCTAGGCATTTTTACTTTGTAAAGCTCTCCACGTGATTGTAATGAGAAGCCAGGTTGAGAGCCACTGGCCCAGGTAACACTGTCCAAATGTTTGGCCTGGCATTAACCTCCATAACCTCGTGCAAACTTAACCTCCTACCTCTTTCGCTGGCCTTGTCTTCTACTCAAATCCTGCCATGAAACACCCCCAAAGAAACATAATCCTATCTCAACTTTCCTTTTGTATCTTACATCCCTTTCCCTTCCTTTCTGCCTTTCCAAATTTTGGTCATCTATAGAAGTTCGGTCCAGTCTTCCCCTCTTTCATCACAGTTTTATATCTTTCCTCTCCTCCGAATTTACAATCTGCAACACTCATTTGGCATTTAATTACAAATTGCCAACTTCCCCATCATATTTAGTTTTCACACTAAATAATAAAATGTTTTAAAACTGCACATCATGTTATCTACCCAAATAAAATCTAAACTCACTGGAGGAAAAGTTTACTCTTTTTACCCCTCTAGTTAGGAAAGTTTACATTGTCTAGAACCCCTGCCCCCCGCAACTGTCTACGATGGAGCCTTGCATACTGGTGGTACTCAGTAAACATCTGTGGTTTTGATTATGCAGAAACCACCCCTTTTGTAAAACTGAATCTTTGCAGGAGTCTCACTCTACTTCAGCACTCCACACCCCTTTCTTCATTTCCCTTGTAGAGATTCAGAATCAGTAACATTTGGGTTTCCAGCTGCTCTGCCTCGCACTAACCATGTGACTCTCTTTCAAGGCCTGGGATTCTGTGATCCCTAATATGGAAATGACAGATTGCCTTATAGGGTGTCTATTGCATAAGTACAATGTGAGCTAAGAAAATACCACCATTACTATTTTATCAGATGATAATATTTTCTTAGGACCATTTCTTAATGACTTTCATTATGTCTCTTTAAATGATCGTGAATAAAGCATCCTTTAGACCAGATGTGAGAACACAGCTTAATGCTTATAATCCTTTTTCATTACCTGTCCCTTAATATACTCCACAGCTCCCCACCTAAGCAGGCCTCCAGAAGCATGTATACATACTTATTGTCCTTGAAAGTACGATATAATCTGTGAAGACACATAAAAACATGGTTATTATTAAAAATCTAGTTTTAAAAGCTTTTTAAAGTTGCTTAAAAACATCATCAATATCATTTGGAACACTGGTGCTCATCTCATTCCAAACATCCTCTAGCTACATGGGACCTCTCACCGAATGCTCTTTGATCTTTCTTCCTGCCTTGCTTTTGCACATGTTAGACTGCCCTCCTTAGACTACCCTCCCTGTACAGACAGACTGACCTTCTTCATCTTAGTTTCACTGTAACTGTGTTATTCATTCCTCAAGACCAAGCTCAGGAGCCCAATACAGCAGCTCATCTTTCCCCCTACTAAATATGGCCTCTCTTCCCTCCAAAAGTCCAGAGTTCTCCGCATACGTCTCCTTTATGAGCTCCCTTCATGCCCATGTCTTATATCCTCTGGTTGGTCTCAAAAACTAGACTGTGAGACGGAGACCTATCAGCAGTAAGTTTAACGGGTAGTGTACTTGGGAACAATCCCCTGCCCCAGGGGAGGAATAAGACACACAGACACACTTGGGCAGCAGGAAAGTTGGTTATGATCGAGTTTCTAGTTTCAACGAAAGCCTCAGCTTCAAGGAGCTCTGCCATCATTGGATGCAGGCTGTACCTGGAAACAGAATATGATCTTGGGCAAGATGGCTCTCTTCGCCTGAGAGCAATGACCAGGAAAGGACTGAGCTAGAGTCGTCAGTTGGCAACACTCCCAGAAGCTGTAGGAATGACAGCCTCAATCCTGATGTGGGAGGGACCTGGGCAAGGTAACTTATGTTAACACTGGGTGACAACAGGGCACCCAGATCGTGCGCAGACAGCAGAAAGCAATCTAGCAAAGTAGCTCAGAGTGGGCTCTGGTTCCAAGCAGCTTAGTGTGGGCTCTGAATCCAAGCTGCTTAGGCTTGAATCCCTGATCGGCCATTTATGAGCTATGCAGCCTAGTTTTCTTATTGCTCTTGAGGACAAGCATAATATTTACCTCACTGTTATATCATAAAGATCAGATGAATATATAGTATTCATTTGATTTTATATTAATTATATATTAATTTAATATATGTTATATATCTGTATACATAATATATAAAATAAATATAAATATATTTTAAATATATGTTAAACATTATATATGATATATCACATATATGTTTTGCTTAGAATAGTGTCTGGCACATGCAAATTTCTCAATAAATGTCACTAACATTTATTATTATATTATTATTTCCTTATATGCCAGGCACTTTGCAGACAGCTGGAAATGAGAATAGGAATAAAACCTAATTCATGCCCTGAAGCTGCTCCTGATAGTTTGTTATGAATTATTGATGAAAAGGGGGCATTCTGGGAACACAATTAATATAAAAACAATTGGATGACTCTATTGCTAGCATTGCCTGGGTTCAACTTTTTTAATGTTGAAAAAAAATGGGTGTGGGAGTATGGATAGGCAGGAAGATTTTCTCAAGGCAACTGATCCAAAAACATAAATTCTATCCACTATAAGGGCACTTTACCTCATCTGGAAATCACTGAAACTATACTCTTGGGCTATGATCTGTATGAAAATATGTCTCAACTGGCCTACACCACTAACTCATGAATTCACAAGTAAAGACAGCGGTGGCCTAGAATAACACAATTCTCTCCCAAACTCTGGGAAAGGACGAATAGTGACTATTAGGAGATGGATCTTTCAGGATCTGGGCATTGCTAGAACCAGGCTCTACAGGTCCTTGCCAGCTGACATGAGCCCAAATGCCACTTCTTGCAGAAATTCAACAGCAGTCTGTCCCCTGAGGGTTTTAAATGAATTATTTGCTTCCCAAATTCTGTAGTAGGTATGGATTAAATAATCAGTTCAAGTTATTCCACAATAATTTGATATTCTCTCTCTCTCTCTCTCTCTCTCACACACACACACACACTTTTCCTGAGATTTACTCAAGAATAAAAAATCTGAACTCTTGACTCCAGACTTCAAACTTCTAACATTTTATGTATTGTTGCCGTGACAGGGAGGGATGTCTGAGTACGGCCTCCTTTTCCTCTTCTGTTATCTTGCATGGAAACATTCAAAAGTGTCTACAATCCTAAATTCTGGGAGCCAAATGCTCACTTACTTCACGATGAAGGGAGAACACAACTCTTCTAGAATCCTCTTTTCTGAGTAGACATGCTCCTGTTGTTTTGTGTCAACTATGTGCTTCTTCCTTATACACTTCATAGCAAAAGCAACATTCTCATTTTTCACTTTAACCTATGTAAGAAGAGAAAGATCCCTCAAAATTAACTTACTGGAAAGATTTATAATACCTATATAAAACATGTTAACCAATGAAGAGTTAAACTTCTTTCACATTTAAACAGTATGTAACCTTTTAACCACATATCCCTCTGGGAACTAAGTTTTATTCAAGTGCACACCCTTCCCTTTCATTGTAATTTCCAAAAAAGTTCACATATCTGGAACATGCTCTTAAAACGTTTACATTATAACAAGAAAAACCAACACTAGTTAGATTTAATGTTTACAAATCTATTCACTTTTGAGTGTGTGATATGAAAAACTTTGACCAGAATTGCCAAAAATTGTTCTTTTTTAATATGCACTTCTTTTGATTTTCAAAACAAAACATATTAAATCAAAATCCATAGCTGCATTATCCAACATGACAGCAACTAGTCACATGAGGTTATTTAATTTTAAGTTAATTTAAATAAGAAATTCAGTTCCTCAGCTGCACTAGCCACATTTCAAAAGCTGGTGAGCTGCTAGCTACCCTCCCGGACAGCAGACGGATAGAACAGTTCCCGAAGTGCAGAAAGTTCTTTCGCAGCCTGCTGCTTTAGATGGACAAAATTTTCCCTTGAAAGGAAATAAAAAATTTTAATAAATATGTACTCAGGCTTATAACTCCATAAGCAGACTATATTTGATAAATAATGAAACTGTAGATTTGGCTGCACCCATTTTTCTCACATTTGCCATTAGCTCTGCCTAGGATTTTTAAAACAATGGTGGAATTACTGTTTCAATTATTATTATCTATCTAACTAACTACATATATATATATATATATATATATATATATATATAAAACAGATCTCAGCATTGCTAATTCAATCCTTTTGCCAGGATCTTTGGTGAAAAATACCACTGCAGATAGATATTGCCCTTGTCTCTCCATATGGCATAAAAAATGTGACTTATTTCTTATGAAGAAATTGTTTTTCACCGCCCCCCATCAGAGAGGAGGTATTGATGGGTGTGAAGTGTATTATCCAGAGTCTCCTGGCAGCACTTCTGATGTGCTCATGTCCAGGGCCATCCAGCAAATGAAGGTGTCAGCATACTTCCCGAAGGTTAATGTACAGTGAATCATTAAAAATCTGCTGGGTGAAGAAGGGCTTGGGAATAGCCAAGGGTTCAGAGCCATCTGTCTCCAGTAAGGTCACACATCTCCATTCTACGGTTTCCCCGGAGCACTTGATCTGACAGGACTGCTCTGTTACTCCTTGGAAGCTAGTTATAAAGCTCAGAGAGGTGGTGATGTGGAAAATACAGCCAAAATCAGACCGTACGTTCCCAGCTGTCGTGATCAACACTACAGAAGGCTGCTCCTCAAATATTCCCTTACAGTCATCTTCTTTTCTTTTTTTTCCTGATAGAAAATCTTGAGCAACCCAAGATGGGATAATGACAGCCAAACACGGACATAGCAGTGGAATTGTGTCAACTATAATATTAAAGATTTTATTTCTAATAAATAAACTTCCACTGGACACATTCTTCTTTTCTTTAGTATATAGTTAACGTGTCATGAGTGTGTGTGTATACACATTTTCCTGTTAGAAAATACATTTTTAATGATTTAGAGCCTCTGGGAACGCTTACTTGGTACATTCTCCAATAATTATAGTCAAGAAAAGAATTCACAAAAGGATGTGACACAGAAGCTTGAAATCACAGCTATATTATTACAAGTGACTTATTAGCATAGACCTGCTACTATACAACACACACAGTGAAAAATGTACTTTCTTAATTTCAGTTCAAAGCAACATTTAAGACAGCAATAACAATTCATATGTTCCTCCAAGATACACTGGAATATAAAACAAAAAAAGTCAAAAGGCTTCTCTCAGATGCTTGAAACGTAAACCCCTTACAAGCTCAACTCTTCCGAACCCACCAACGCCCAGTGTTGCGATAATCTCAAGGTTCTGGAATGGGGATGATGAGGAAAATCTGGCCACCTTCTCCTTCAGCTGAATCATCTCCAGAGAGAGTGCTTTGGACAGCTTCCAGTTAGACATGGATCTCCTGTATAAGAAAAGTGAAACTTTGCATACACCCCCTTAGTCAAGCCAGAGTCATGACACACATAAATTCCACTCGTGCAATAGTCTTATTTCTGCCAGGATTACTGCCCATAATTGCTACAAAGGCTATCTCAACTTTTATAGGATCAGATTTGGTTACATCTGGGGAGGAAAACAATAGAATAAACAAACAAAAAAACTCTCACACATACACAATAATAGATAAATGTCAAACTGAATCAATGAGAGGTAAAAAGAGCTGAATTGTGTAGTATTAAAGTCTATCTCAATAAATATGTGTGTGTTTTTTTAAGAGTCAGTGAGAGGAAGTAAAACCAGTGAGCCATTCCTTTTACTATGTACACAGGAGAATGCCACACTGAGAATTTTTGCTGTGTTTTGCTATTTTTGTCAGATTTTGAAGCTTTCCATGGTTGAACCAGAATGACTACCTAGTAAAACATGAAAGATACATTTCTTACTTTATGTCTAAGTATCATTGTTTGGAAATACTCATTTTTCTTTTTAATTAAGATATACTGCTCTAACCTATATTATATATATATATATATATATATATATATATACACATACATATATTCATAAATTGTTCTTACTACAAAAGATCTTTAAGAACATAAAAACTGCAAATATATTCCTTGCATAAAAAGACAAAAACAAAACACTTAGGAGGTCCTCACTGAATGTTCTAATTTAACTCAAATGTCAGTTTTCTAGAACTTTTGACTCCAGCTTCATTAGTACTACCTGGTGAATATATGCTTAAGTATTTACTCTACAAACTATAAAGAATTTTCAAATAATTTTAATGTTACAAAGTAGTTTTTCTCTTAAGCAAAAATTTTTCATCAATATTACTATATTTAGTCCAGCCCAATTCCTTCCTACACACACACACACACACACACACACACACACACAGCCCGGGGCAACAGCTCCCTTATATTCTGAAATAATTCTGCCTCTCCTCCTAGCTCTTTACCTGGAATCAGAATGAACGGGTTACTCTAGTGCCTTGGCATTCCTGTTTGATTTCCAGGGGCAATATAGGCTTCATTTCTGAATAACCTCCTTTTGACATTGGAAACACAATGTCAAGCAACCATTTCCCAATGCCCCCTCTCAGGAAATGTCTCCCTCACATTATTACTCATCAACCCAAAATAAGAAGGTACTTCCTGACTAAAGTAACATCCATACTAGTGGTAAGTGGCATCTTTGTGCAAGAACTATTTAAAAGAACTGCCCCCAGTTTTCTAGTGACGACACACTGAAAGTTACCACAGAGCGAATCACACACACTTGAAAGAAGTCACATGCGGCTGAGGAAAATACTGCTTCACTTACTTTGCATGTCTTTTCTCATCATCACGGTTCAGGTTTGCCACATACCCTTCAAGGTATTTTTGGAGTTCTTCAAAAGTCCCGACTGTTTGGTTGAATGTTCTAAGTGAATAAAATAAATAGTTATCTTTGCAATTTGACATTTCCTCAAGCTCTTAGAAGACTTTGTGTATGATTTTTGATGGATTTGTAAATAGTTTTTCAATAATTTAGGTTACAGTAAAGTTGCCAAAAAATGTAGAATAGCTATTAGAAGTTACATAACTAATCCTTCAAGTCTGTGAAAGCAAAGATGACAAAAACTTTCTGTAGTTTTATGCCTTGTGGTTCAGGTTTACCAGCAATTTTTTTCAAGAAGATAGTGGAAAGAAAATAGTCTATATAATCTATTTACTGAAACAACAGGTTACACGGGTTGCAGATTTTCCTAACTTCATCAAATTAAGCTATTTATTTTAAATATCAAGAATAAAATTTTTTGTTTTTATTTTATTATGTTATGTTAATCACCATACATTACATCATTAGTTTTTGATGTAGTGTTCCATGATTCATTGTTTGCGTATAACACCCAGTGCTCCATTCAATAGTGCCCTCTTTAATACCCATCACCAGGCTAACCCATCCCCCCACCACCCTCCCCTCTAGAACCCTCAGTTTGTTTCTGAGTCCATAGTCTCTCATGGTTCGTCTCCCCCTCCGATTCCCCCCCTTCATTTTTCCTTCCTATTTTCTTCTTTTTTTTTTAAACATATAATTTACTATTTGTTTCAGAGGTAAAGGTCTGTGATTCAACAGTCTTACATAATTCACACAATTGTTTCCTGAGATGAAGAATTCCTCATATCAGTGAGGTTATATAATACATGTCTTTCTCTGATTGACTTATTTCGCTCAGCATAATACCCTCCAGTTCCATCCATGTCATTGCAAATGGCAAGATTTCATTCCTTTTGATGGCTGCATAATATTCCATTATACACACACACACACACACACACACATATACATATATGTGTATTTATATATATATATACACCACATCTTCTTTATCCATTCATCTGTCGATGGACATCTTGGCTCTTTCTATAGTTTGGCTATTGTGGACATTGCTGCTATAAACATCAGGGTACACGTACCCTTTCAGATCCCTGCATTTGTATCTTTGGGGTAAATACCCAGTAGTGCAATTGCTGGATCGTATGGTAGCTCTCTTTTCAACTGTTTGAGGAACCTCCATACTGTTTTCTAGAGTGGCTGCACCAGTTTGCATTCCCACCAAAGTGTAGGAGGGTTCCCCTTTCTCTGCATCCCCACCAACATCTGTCATTTCCTGACTTGTTAATTTTAGCCTTCTGACTGGTGTGAGGTGGTATCTCACTGAGGTTTTGATTTGGATTTCCCTGATGCCGAGCAATGTTGAGCACTTTTTCATGTGTCTGTTGGCC